GAAGAGGCGACCGTTATTGTACGAGCCACCCCCCTCTGAGTGGCAAATGTTCAGGGTGAAATTACCCCATGTACATGGACTAATCTTGTAGCGACACGTGGCCCAATCAAAGGGTGACACATGTCACTATGGGAAGATGCCACGAGTTTAAGGCATACAAAACCCTTGAATTCAGCATTAAAAAGGCCTTGTTACGTCATGGCCCAAATCTTGAGAGATATTCATGAAAGCCGCAAAACGGTGCCCCCATATTACACATGGCAACGTGTGATTGCGTAGCCAATGACGTCACTGAATTTAAGGGTACAAACCCTAAAGGGGCACAAACTCCCACCCCTATAAATACCCTAATCATTTATGATGGGAGGGGTGGATTACGACATTACAAGCAAGAGCAATAAATAGCTTTAACTTCTCTCTACTTTCTCTCTCTAGCCTTTTCCGTTTCAAATCTCTATTTTGATCATTGGAGGCGAATATTCCGGTAAAGGAATATTCGTTATTTTTGTAGGTGTCCCAGTCTCATTGCCAGCAGGTGTGACCAGTATCCAAGGAATACCAAAAAACACCCAAAACAAGCATTTATTTTAAAATTTCCCCTATTTTGATTGTTCCAATTACCTTTACTTTGATTTTGACCATAACCTTTGTTATGATTACCATAATTTTGGTTTTAATTTTTGCTACTATAACCTTGGTTGTTATAGTTACCTTGAAAATTTTAGTTCCCTAGGTTCCTATTACCACCACCTTGGTTATAGTTGTCAAAATTTCCATGGTTGTTGTAACTATTCCATTAACCTCTTTGATTTTTAGACCTAGAATCATTATTGTTTGACACATAATTCACATGCTCATTCACATTTCTGTCTTGATCATCACAAACATCCATACATGCATGAGGGAAATTAAAAGCATCAAGATCATACAATCCACAAACATCACAAAAACAAGCAACAACTAGGCATGTTACTAGAAGGGGGAGAAGGTTGAGAATTAGAAGACATACCTCTCCCTTTAGATTGGGAGGGAAGATTCAAAACTTGGGAGGTAACACATCCAACTTTGCCTTGATAGCAGACATTTCCTTCCCCAAGTTTGTCATTTGTGAGGACAAGTTGTTTATGGTATTAAGATGATCTACCGAATACACCGAATCTCTACTCTTGCTAGTTGACTCCCTTTCACCATCTTGCCAATCTCTATAGTACCTCACTACATTTTCAATTATGTCTACCACTTCCTACTTTATTTTATTCGTGATGGGACCTCAGGCTCCTCCATCAAGTCATGAATTTCCTTGAGGACTTAGGCCACCATAGCAGATTTGAATAATTTTGTAAAGAAGGAATCCCGTGGTGAGGACATTCTCTTTGTCCTTATACCTTTTCCATGCTTCATAGAAGCTTTCACTAGACTTTTGCTTGAAACCAAGAATCAAAGCTCTAGCCTCCACCGTGTTCTTTTGTAGATTTCAACGGGATAGAAATTCCTTGGTCACTTCGTCCCATGTCCTTAGAGAATTGGGTTTGCCCTCCTTGTCTAGCCATTCCAAGGCATGCCCTATAAGAGAAAAGGGAAAAAGCTTGAGGCGAATAAATTCTTGGAAAATTCCATTCACTTTGATAGTGTTGCAACACTTTTAGAACTCTTTGAGATTTTTTATCAGGCTTTCATGTTTGGCCCCACTTAATTGTTGCTTTTCTATCAAAGTGATCATTGTCGTCTTTATTTCAAAGTCATTTGCCAGTGTTGTAGGTGGAGCAATCCCCCTTTCAAACCTATATACATCCGGAATCCCCAATTCCTTCAATGCCACCCTTAGAGTTTCTCATATCCTTGCTTTGTCTTCTTGTTGTGGTTCTTCTTCACTTGAAGGGCTAGAACATAAAGAACGTCTAGCAACTCTTATCTTTGCAATTGTCCTCTCAATTTCCGGATCAACTGGCACTAGTGAACGACCACGTGCTCTACGCAAACAATCTCAAAAGAAACAATTAGTATCACGGCGACAAATGTAGCCAAAAATAGAAAAGCCTTTTTGTATTATCCAATTAAAATTTAGTAGACTCAACAGCTATAACAAATCACTAATATCATCCGCTGGCAACGACGCCATTTTGACGTAGGGAAAATGTAGGTCGTTTTCTAATCTCCCCTAGAGCCAAAAATATTTATAATCACGTAACAAACCTAATATGAGTATAAAGGTATGTCAAGGGTTAAACCCTAAGGAATGAGTAGGAGAAAGTTATACCCTAGGGTTTAGCTATTTCAAAGATTGTAAGATGTGTTTGAATTATAACTAAGGTATCAAATAGCTAAACAAATCAAAGAAAATCAATATGCTAAACACTAGGGATATAGGTTCCACATGCAAGCTCAATGATCTTGCTAATCGATTGTTAACTCGATTGATTCAAACATTCCAAAGGACAAACAATAGTTGCAATTAATAAAATCCAAAAGATATCTCCTACAATCCAAGCTAGGGTTCACTGAGAATGATAACAAGGAAAATCACAATCAAATTCAACCAATTAAAGCAATTCTCAAATCAAGGTCGGGTTCATGTCATTGAAATTCACTATGCAATCTAAATTAATCATGTAGGTTAATCACTCCTAATCATTAATCACATGCACAATTATGTCCACCAATTCAATTGCAGCAATTCAATCAACCAAGAATCTTAAACTAGCAATAATCATCAATCAAGCATGCTTCCACTTCTCCCTAGCTACTAATCTACTCACAAATCATGGTGGAATTGAAAAATAAAGAAAATCGAATCACAAACATCATCATTTCAAGCTTAATCAAAGAGAAAATCAAACATTCGACAAATTCTCAAACCAAAGATTAACAATCAAATCAAACATTCAAGAATTAAAGGAAATACCAAGCAAAAGTAAATTCAAAGGAAAGAAATTCTCACAAATTTTCATTGATTGAAGATGAAATCTAAGCTCAAAGATGAAATTGAAGTATAAAATAGGTAATCTCAAGTTTCTCTCTCTACTAATTTTTGAAATAAGTCTCAAGTACATATAAAATCGTCATCCGTAGAAAAAGGAAAAGTCAAGGGTATTTATAATAAATCGAATAAAGGGGATCGAAGCAGGCTCGTGCACACGCACAGCAGGGTCTGTGCGCATGCACACGCACAGCAGGGTCCCTATTTCATTTATCTTTGTGATTTTGAGATAGGTTTATCCTTATTTGTTGATTGAACTTGTTGTTACTTTATTTCTCCTCCCTTTTTCTTAAGTTTTCTTGGTTATTTCATATCATTTGGTATCAGAGCCTAGGTTATTATCCTAGAAAGATCCTACCTTTTTTAATTTCTCTTTCCCCCTCTCAAAAGATCTCATCTTTTCCCACAAAAAATTTAAATTTCTCTTAAAATACAAGCTTTCTATCTTGAAACATGGGTGATAGATACTATTATGAAGATGATGAAGGTTACAATGAAAACTCTAGATTGGATGATGTAGAAAAGAATTGATAGACTTCTTGAGGTCTTGGAGAATAGAAGGAGTCCTAGAAGGAGAAGGATCCCTAGTGAAGAAGATGACTATCACTCTCCTCGCCGGAGAAGGGAATACTGCCAACGAGACCATGAGGACAACCGTGACAGAGACATCAAGTTGGAATTTCCAGACTTTGAAGGTAATCTTGATCCTAATGAATTTCTGGATTGGGTTAGGAGTATGGAGAATGTGTTTGAATATAAGGGTTATAATGATGAAAAACGTTTCAAATTTGCGATCCCTAAACTCAAAAAACATGCTTTTTTATGGTATGAGAACTTAAAGAATCGTAGGAAGAAAGATGGAAAATCAAAAATCAATTCTTGGGAGAAATTGAAGAAACATATGAACAAGGACTTTGTGCCTAAAGATTATTTGCAAGATGCTTATCTTAAATTGAACTCTCTTAAGCAAGGAACTATATCGGTAGAGAAGTATACTAGGTAGTTTGAGAAACTTTCTATCATGAGTGGAATTGAAGAAGCACCGGAGCATAAGATTGCTAGGTATATTGGTGGTCTTGAAAGAAAGCTTGTGGGAAAGGTTGATGTGCATGCCCATGGAAGTTTTGTTCAGGTGGTGCAAAAAACTTTGAAGTTTGAGAAGTATGACAAGGTGAGTAGTGCTAGTGGGTATACTAAGCCTACCTTCAAGAGTTATTTTGCTCCAAAGGGTGAGACAAGCAAGACCATTGCCAAGGATGACAAAGGCAAGGCTCCCATGCTCTCTTCTAGCAAAGATGATCATAATAAGATGAGCAATCGGAAGACTTGCTACAAGTGTAGGGGTTATGGACATTTTGCTAATGAGTGTTCAAATAGTAGAGCTACGATGATTCGTGAAATGGATGATGATTATTACGAAGATGAGAAGAGGGATTTCAGAGACCCTATATATGATGAAGAGGATGAGATTCAAGTTGAAGCCGATGAGGGTCAAATCCTTGTTGTGAGGAGGGCACTTCACTCCATTTCTACTCCTTTCACTAGTGGAAAAATAGCTATCCGTAACGGGCAAAAATAGCCTATCCGTAACGGGCAACGGGCGTTAAGTATGCTGCCGTTACGGATAGGCTATGTTATTCATAACGGGCAGTTTGACCGCCCGTTACAAATAACGGGTTATTCGTAACCGGCTGTCAAAATGCCCGTTACGAAAACAATTGAACCCAAATTAAAAAAAAAAATGCAGCAGGTGATACCTGCTAGTCTGCTATCCTGATAAGTTGCTATGATGCCAAATTTTAATTACTATTATCAATAATAATAATAAATGTAAAATTGAATTAATTATAAAATCAAATATACAACTTTCACAAATGTCCAAATTGACTTTACAACAACTCTCAACATGAGTCAAAAGCTACTAAATAAATAATACTCCGTAATACAACATGAAAATTTAAACAAGTTTTATATTCCATATAGTAGACTATGAACTTGAAAAATCTTGTAGAATTGTATACTGTCTTGATTTGTTTCCGTTAAGATCAGTTACATGGAAAACTGCAGAACACAAAATTAAAAATAGGGTTAAAATTTTAATTACAATAATTAATGAAAATGGGTATCTTAAAATCCTCAAAAAATAAATTTAATTACTCACCATCCATGAACCATCTGCCATCGGAAGAAATATAAGCTTTCTTAATAGAAAGATTAAGATCTGTGATCACTTGAACAGCTTCTAATAGAATCCCATGTTTTCTAGCACTATCAACCTACCAAAAATTAAATTAAATCAAATTAATTATTATCAAATAATTAACTAAATAAAAACCCAGAAAATATTTTAATTACAGAAGGTTAATTATAATTACCTTAACAAGGGTGGAATTAGGACAAACAGCATTGTCAATTGCAACTCTGTAGAAAAAAATCACATTAAGGGTTAGATTATCAGAAAATTAAAAAATTAACAATTAATTTTATTTATTTTTTGATAACAGCTTTGAAATTCAAAATTTTTTGAAGGTGTGAACGGGAAAAGTCGGTGGCCGGTCGCTTTTTTTTTTTCTGGGAGAATTTTAAAAGATGGAGAGCTTCTGGAAAATAGCCGAAAATCTTAAAGAAGAAGCAACCAAAAAAGTCTAAAATTTGTATAACAATAAAAATGATCATCAAACAAAACATTTTGAAAATAAATTGATAAATTTCCCAGAATTAATATCTAAAAAAATAGAAATAGATTGATAAATTCCTGAAAATTTAAAAACAAAATGATAAGAAGAAGAACAAACCTGGGAGTATCTAAGCGCAAAAGAAGCTTCTCGAATTCATTCAAACAAGCAGGCCACTCCTTAAAACGACGTCGTTGATAGAATGATACCCAGAAAAATAGGAGAACGTCAAGTGCGCTTCAATGGGACGCTTCAATTGCTTGGACCGACGAAATTCAATTTGAAACAAAGATCTGTAGAGCAAAATCCATAAACCCTCCGATCTAAAAATCATCAAATCCCCCAATTTCACCATTTTTTCTCTCTCCTCGTCCCATATCGCCATTTTTCTCGCCTTGTTTCATCACCAATTGAATGGGGAAGATTGATGGAGGAGAGAAGAGGAGAGGAGATAAGAGGAGAGAGAGTGACAGTGTGAAATGAGAGAAAAGAGGTGAATGACGGCTAGGTAAACCCTAATAAAAAGCCAAAGCCAAGTAATGGGCTCTTCTTATCATTTGGGCCACGCTCAAGCAGTTGTATCGGGCTCAATATGCCCGTTACTTGTAATATAATATCCGTAACGGGCAAATGATGACGGTTACAACTAAATAAGTATTCGTAACGGGAAATATTTTGCCCGTTACGAATAACTAAGTATTCGTAACGGACATTTTTTGCCCGTTACGAATAACTAAGTATTCGTAACAGACACTTTTTGCCCGTTACGAATAACTAAGTATTCGTAACGGACACTATTTTGTCCGTTACGAATATATTTAATGTAACGGGCATAGCTTTGCCCGTTACAAATAGCCTGTTACGAATGAGATTTTTTCCACTAGTGTTTGGCGAAAGAGCAAAGGGAAAACATCTTCCAAACTCATTGCACCATCAAGGATCGAGTTTCCAACCTTATCATTGATAGTGGCTCTTGCACTAATGTGGCTTCAAAAACATTGGTGAGCAAGCTCAATCTTGAAACTACCAATCATCGTACTCCCTACAAGCTTCAATGGCTTAACAATCACAATGAGGTGAAGGTAACGAAACAAACTCTTCTTTCTTTCTCAATTAGCAAGCTATATAAGCATGAGGTACTTTGTGATGTATTGCCTATGGATGCTTGTCCTGTATTGCTTGGTAGACCTTGGTAATTTGATAGAGATGTAATGCATGATGGAAAAAAGAACACTTATTCATTCATAATGGATAAGAAGAAGATTGTACTCAACCCCTTGTCCCCCACCATCAAATACAAAGAACCATTGGGTACGGGAAACACAATCAAAGAGAACCTTCTCATTGGGGAAAATGAGATGGGAAAGGAGATAAATCAAGGACACCTTGTATTTATTTTTCTTCTAAGGGAAACACAAGAGAGTGAGCGAGAAAACCCAATCCACCCCCTTGTCAAGGAAGTATTGTTTGAGTACCTTGATGTTTTTCCCGATGATCTCCCCCCTCCGGTTTTCCACCTATTAGAGGAATTGAACATCAAATCGATTTTATTCCCGGATAACAACTCCTTAATAGACCGGCTTAAAGGTGTACCCCCGATGAAGCAAGAGAGCTTCAAAGACAAGTTGGTGAGTTTATTGAAAGAGGATTTGTGAGGGAATCCCTTAGCCCTTGTTTGGTTCCGGCTCTTTTGGTTCCTTAAAAGGATGGTACATGGAGGATGTGTGTGGATAGTAGGGCCATCAATAACATCACCATCAAGTATCGCTTCCCTTTTTCCCAACTTGATGATATGCTTGATGAGTTGTATGGTTCCAAGGTGTTTTCGAAGATTGACTTGAGGATGGGGTATTGTAGGCGTCGCTCGAAGTGCGCCTACGTAAAAGCATGTGTGAATATGCTTGGAACTCATAGGAAGTGGAAATTGACATAATACGATAAGGGACACGATTAAGGACAAGGAAAGTAGGGAGCCGCCAACAAGTTTTTAAGGAACATGTAAACCGTTCACGGATCATAAAAGGCAACCACGAATAAGGGACAACGATTGACTAGTGAAGATTGCACCCCTTTTATAATCCTTGTGATTACTAACTCCATATGGTTCGCAACCACGAAAGCAGGATCGGGGACGATGGTACAAAGTGAGTCATGGAGTCACATTTGCCCGTATTGGCCTCTACTAGATTCTTATAGTGAAAAGCATTCCTGCAATCTCAAAGGCATACAAACAGAGTTTCAATTTGCTCTAAACTATTATTAAGATAAATTGGTTAAATATTAATGTAACACATAATTCTAAAATATTTTTTATCACTTGATTTAACAATAAGATTAAAAAGGATCCTAAACCGGTTGTCCAAATTATCTTATTAGGCATGATTTTTAATTAAATATTCCCTTTAAACATGCAATATAGTGATCAATAAACATAATAGAATAACATCAATATTAAAAGCAATTTAAGAATAATTTTAGCAATATAAAATCGTTAGAAAAATAATAGAAATAAAAGGAACACAATTCTTACTTTGATTCTGTTTTCTTGCAACTACAAAATAATAAATGATTTAGTAACTTCAAGGAAATAATAATAAAACAATAATTAAATTAAATTAAATTAAGTAGAGTTGATTTGGGGCCAAACCCTCAAACAGTTTTACCTTTCAAGCCTTAGCTTAAGGACAGAACCACGAGTAATGTACGGACTCATTGGAGTGTTTGAAGAAGGAATTTTGAAAGAAGAAGGGTAGGCTAGTGTTTAGGCTAGAGCATAGAAGAGAGAAAAATAGAAAATTCATTGATGCCACGTACATCAGAAATGAGGGGGTATTTATAGAAAAAAAGTGCAGAGGGAACACACGGAACCCTAAAAAGATAAAAACCCTAAAAAAATATGCCACAACACGAAAAAGTATATCGTGACACGAGAACCCCCACCGTCAGACGGTAAACATTCCCGTGACACGGTGTACTTGTTGTGTGACACGGGAAATATTTAGTAAACGGGGGAGAAAACGCGTTAAGGGTTTACGTGGAAAGGACACAATAACTTCAGTGTCATAGCAGGTGTCCCGTGTCACTGGGATTCCCACCGTCTGACGGGAAAGGTTCCCGTGACACGGTGGACATCTCTCGTGACGCGGGAGTCTCTGGTCTGTTGTTCCGTCTAAATTCATATTTAACCCTAATTTTGTTCAGCATTTTAAGTGCCGATTGATAATTTTTGGCCATTTCTGATTTATTATTATTATTTGGGCTAAAAAAAGTAAATAAGTAAATAAAATAAATAAAAGATTTGGGCCAAAATAAATAATAAAACAATAAAATAAAAAGGGTTTGGGCTGAAATTAAAAACTATGCTTTGACTAAACATTAAGACTGATCCATGGACTATTGAATTTAATTAAATACGATTTTTTAAGCACTCTCGGGATTAAATACTGAACCCGACCAATAGTGACAGTGAAAGGTTGTTCATCATCGGGTTTAGTTTAGGGGAGACATTTTAGTTGTCTACAGAAGGCCCCACTTTGACTGAGTTTGTAGAAACGTCCGTTTCAAAACTGATAGTCAAAGTAGCCGATAGGGACGGAGAATGATTTAAGATCCTAAATCACTCTGTATACGCTGATACCTGCAGAAAAATGTTAATTCCACAGATAAAAGAGTAAAAGGATAGAATGCGTCTCTAGCACCAGTGTATCGGTGACAAATGAGTTTGGCTGGTTCCTATGCTTGAAGGAATCCACCGGATGACGTTCGTTGAAACGCTTTCCATTCTTGAGGAAAGCCCACTGATGAATTTGGTAACTTTCTAAGCCTGAAGAAATATACCAGATGATACTTTCCATGGTTGAGGAAAGCCGACATATGAATTTGGCGGTTTTCTATGCTTGAAGAAATCCATCGGATAATACTTTCCATGCTTGAGGAAAGTCGACAGATGATGAGAGTGCAAGTCTCTGTGTATCGAGAACCTTGCGCCGTGAAATGATGGTGGTTCGATTGTCCCCGAACGTGGGATGTAGATGGTCCGCTTGTCCTCGGACGTGGGCTGTATGTAACACCCCGTCTAAAACATAAGGCATGACGTTCGCATAATTAACGTCAAGACGAAAATGTCACTCTAAAGGTTACAAAATAAAATAAAGACAATGATTAAAATATCTGAGAAAAAATAAAATAAAGTGAAAGAAATCCCAAATGAACAATAAACACTTCCAATGAGGGAAAACAACCTCAAATCTGATAATCCTAAAAGAGAAGGTCCAAAGAAACTAAAGCAAGTCTATAAAACTGCTAAGAAATAAAATAAACACTCTGCTCTCAGCCCAGACTCAACAGGAACTACTCTTCACCTGCAAATAACATTAAGGTTCCACAATCAGTGGGGAGTAACAAGCAGTCCTCCCAATACTTGTAGAAATACAAAGCTAAGTACAGAAAAGTTTAGACACTAGCACAAAACTTAACAACATGTGGGAACATCAACTCAGATAATATTTACCAGTTAAACTTCAGGGAAAAATAAATAAATAAATAAAACATGGAATCATGATTATAATACAGATCAAGCATGTAAATATAACAACGTAAGAAAAAAAATATATAACCACAAGAATTCTAAATTGAATATAGTAACTCAAAACAAATAGTAACTCATATATACGATAATTAACACTTGTAAAGTTCCCTTCCCAAAACAATAGTATCTTAAAAATAAATAAATTTTAACCCTTTTGAAAATAAGATTTATAGTGAGGCAAGCATATAAAATATGAACGCTGGTGAAATCCACAGCCCACCATCAAAGGTTTGTTAGGGCGAACCTACAGACGATTTTGCAGCCGTATGCGTCTGATAATGGCCAAACTCCCATTTTCCTACTCGACTTCCGCAGCCCGAGTAGTTCCGGACGACAACAATTAACCTAGAAAATACATCTCGAATTCCGCAGCCCAAGATGTTGGCATGTTCCAACCATTGAATTCCGCAGCCCAATGGTTGTCTTACACTCACAAAAATATATAAAATTTATAAACATACTTCTTAAAAATCATTTAAACACATTTAGGGATCATCAACCCCAATTTAAAGTATTTGCATGTCTTTACTTCTAAGACCAAAATTCAATATAAATTCTTCAAAAGAGTTTAACTTCAAAATTCTTCAAAATATAAAATAATCCATATATCATACTAAGGTGTCACTCTTATTGTCTGGATTTGGGTACGAAGCTAATTATAACAAAATATCACAATACGCACCGTACACAACCCTTGGCGAAGCGGTGCTAAAAACAGTGTTATTCTACTTTAAAGCACAACGACGTCGACAACTTACTTGACACTTTAAAACCATTTTTTTTTACTATTTAAACACTCAGAATTTTAAATCAACATTGGTGCTTATTCAAAATTTCCATCACTACCTATTATTTAAATACATAGAAAAATCGACTATCTTTATACGATTAAT